TTTTGTATGACACTGAAGACAGGAGGCAGGTGACTGAACTATACGAAGCATTTTCTCACAATTTAAAGGAGATATTTGGATGAGCTGATGAATATAAGTAACTGAAGCAAAAAGGACAGAGAAGTGAAAATTCTTATGTTATTCTTCCTAATTTACCTGAAATGTAACAAAATTTTCTACACTCTATACAGAAAAATTATTTAAATATTTAAACTATTTACAAATTTATTGAAGATATTTAAATCTTATTAAATTATACACACAAATGCACACACTCTCAAAACACATGTTAAAATTGTGTGTCAAGAGATAGCAAAAAGACATATACAGTTAAATCAGCTCAGAAATACTGAACAGGATAAAAACACCTACCTTTCTGAAGTTAGTGATAGAATTACCTGCTTTTCTGTAATATTGAATATTGTTCAATAGCAACATTAAAATTAGTTGGCTGTTAATGAGACTTTATTTCCCAAAATAAAGGATAAGAATAATGGGAGAATAAATTAGAAATATTTATTAATAGCAAATTCTTCCAGCAATTCTATTGAAAATGACTCATAGATACATTTTAATGTCACAAGTGGTATCATTACATTATCTTGCCTGACAGATTTCTTAACAAGGATCACAGATTTTCATCCACATGCTAGTGTCACTGTCTCATTAGCATTAGTCTGAATAAACTTGTGATTTAAAAAAAGTGGTTTAAATGCTATTAACTTCATACTGGTACCGTTCACTGACAATCAGCACAGCTTTTACAGTTCCTACTTTCTTCACCATTTTAACTTGCCTGACTTTGATTTTTACCCACTTTCTTTTTACCTGCTTATTTTTAAAGAGTTCTTCAGTGCCTTGTTTTCTCTCTGCTTCCACCCCTTAAACAACAGACCTATTGAATTTTTAATAAATTATTTAATATGCTAACGAATTTATGCATTTATGCCCCCAGGTCTTAAGTTATTTGCATCTCCATAAATGCTCCTTTTGCATCAAATATAGCCCACTGCTGTTTGCCATTATTTCACAATGAATAATTTAAACCAATTAAATTAAAATGTGATTTTTGTACTCAGCCTGTTTTAGCTAGGTTTCATGTAAAAAATTATCATTTCATCCCCAAAATCTTGACAATGAAGAGCATATTTATGTGATATGAATTTTTATTTGGTAGTTTGTTAACTTTATACAGAACCTTTTTTCATGTCACATTATTGTTATGGTATTGTATGAAAATGGTTTGTGGTATAAGGGTTTGTTTTCTTTTTTCTTTTCTATTTTTATACGATATAAAATTGTAAATACTCAATCAAGGGATCAATGATCTTTTGCTGAGTTTCTGTCAATGAAACTGTTTTTCATACAGTGAAAAGACAGCTTTTTAAAGTGCATTTTTATGCTTCAAATTTTATGGGTCTTCCTGATTATTTAGAAGGCCCTAATCAAATTAGAATAGAGGCTTAATGCCTTGCTTCCTTTTCCATTTCTTTGTAATCTAACCCACAAAATAAAGGAAAAAAGTATACAATTACAACAAAAATAGTCATTTTAGAGCATTATAAATATGAATCCACTAGCTATAAATCAGATTAGAATCTCTGACATCTCTGAATAAGGTGCAGAATATCCTGCCTTTTAGCTGCTTGAGACTAAGGCAACTGTGACAATTGAAAATCCCAGTCTTCTATATCATTTGTGAAAGGAATTAGTCTTTCGAATGGATACAGGAGGAAAAAGAACACTAAACACATGCAAGTATATATAAACAAAACATTGGTCATGGTGGCAGCCAAGTTTTGGGTTTTATTTAACATCTTTGGACTATATATTCCTTCTGAAGATTAAATCAGTTAAGTACTTTGTGATACACAAAGTATTATGTGTAGACATTAATATTTATTTACTATTTAATATTTTTGCTGTTACCAGAAGAGCAATTATTCTCTCATCCTGAAACACTAAAATATTAATATGCATTCAGTAGGATCTGGGAGTTCATATTCTCTACTGTAGTGCTTGTCATGAAGAGAAACTTAGAGAAATCTCAATTTACAAACAATTCTATTTAAAAAGACAAACTTAGGGTAGTAAGCGTCTCTAATCCCGACTGTTCTCGTGAAGTTAATCAGAATTTTAGCCACAATTAAGGTGTGGAAAATGGAGAAAAAATGCTTACAGTCATATTAAGTAAAGTCCTGTCCTTGTGGCATGAGGGGTAGTTATTGAAATTGCCAGTATACACAGGAGAAAATACTAGCTACCCTGGATGACAACTGCATCCTAATGAACACAAGTCTAAATATGGACAATTTTTTAAAAAATATCTCATTCAGGTGAAAGCAAGCCATGTAATACAGATACACTTTGCTTAGTAAATGATGTGATAACTCTAAAGCACTACTTCTCACTCCTGAGCTAACTTATAAAAAAGTTAAGCTAACTTATAAAAAAGTTAGCACAACCTACTTGCAAGTCCTCCTACTTGAAGTGAATATTAGCCAGAAAAGCTGTGTCATTCTCCAAATCAAATAGATTTATAGCAAAAAAATAGTATTTGAGGTACTATAGAAGAGAATAAGTTTGAAGGTGATCACAAAACACCAGAATAACTCTTTTTTTTTTTTTTTTTTTTTTTTTTTTTCCTTGGTGTGGCCTCTGGTCTAAAAAACACCCATTGCTTAAATGGAGACTTTTAAGATGCTGGCATAAAATCTGAACAAAACCTTGAGTTTCTACAGATGTTCAACGTAGTAGTGTAATGGGAAGCTGTTTTTCTTGGTTTTACTTGTTTTTATATTTAGTGAAACCATAGTTAAGTTCTATAGTACCTGCTGTAGGAAACTAGAATATGGTGAAGATTAATGCTCCAATGTCAGAAACTGCAATTCCATTGCAATGATTTTTCCACTTCCAGTTTTTATTATTTACAGGTATTGGTTATCTAAAGAACCTGCTTGAAACATTTCAGGATTTTATAAGCCTGACCATATTTACAGAAAAAAACTGAATAACTGAATATGAATAAAGTGATAAAGAAACACATAAATTATATTCTTATATTACTTATGCTGGAATTGCTTCTCTTTTAATATAATTTGAGGCTGGAAGATCTACAACTTTTCCCAGACAGTTTTGAGGGGTGGATGATCAAAAAAACCCTCAGCATATTTGTACTCTTTTCTCTGCTTCCACACAACAGTGCCAGGAAGGCACTGGTTTAGGTTTTACTGCTTTGTGAACTGTCTCTTTGCCTGTAATAACTTCTGCTACATGGCTGAGAAATGGAAACAAAAACAAAAAACAACAACAACAAAAAAAACCCACAAAAAAAACCCCTCAAACAAAACAAACAAACAAACAACAACAACAAAAACAAACAAACAAACAAACAAAAACCTCAAAAAAACCCCAAAACTCAGTGTGTTGGTATACATGAATAGGGGACACAGAAAAAAAGAGTGGGGAAGGAAAAATGGCTAAAAATTGCAAATGAGTTAAGAAGAGCATCAACAAAGGCAAACGACTAAAAGAAAAGAAGAAGAAGCTGTCAATTGCAGAAAATTATATAGCACACATTCCGCAAATTTCTGTTCAAAGAGTATAAAAAAATCAATGGATAAGTCATTAGGAGTCATCCTGGCTCCAAAGCACTAGTTCTCTGACAAAGAAGAGCTACCTTGATGTTTACTGCGTTAAGCCTAAGGCCTGAAGCAATCAGAAGTTACCAAAGGGAATGGGAAAAAAGTGCATGTAAGAAGTGGCATTTTTCAACTCTTTCAAAGCTGGACTGTGTTCTTAGAGCATTGCTCATTTACATGCTCAGGGCAATGCCTTCACTGAGTGAACAACTTGTCCTGTTACTCCTCTCCCTAATGAGCATTTCTAAGGAGCCAATATTTGCACACACTCGGTAATTGAAGGGCACAGCACATTGATGGGATGTTCTGCATTTGGGATGTTCTACTCCTTGATGAAGACTCCAGACCTCACAGACAACATAGAGGTAAAAGAAAACTTTTCACTTCTCTGTTCAGATTGCTAGTAAAGAGGATTTTTTCAGACTATAAACTTGTTGCTTTTTTTTTTCTTTTGAAGTCTCAAATGTAAAAAGTTTCTGAATTTTATTGAGCCATTCCAACTTTAATCTTCCTACCTAAGGAAAATATAGTGTACCTATGTGACCTACAAAACCTAAGAAATGTATGATTTATGTCAGTAAAATGTCTTCCCAGTGGGAAGCATTTTAAAAATATGGTATTTTCATGTTTCTCGTTGATACTAGTCTGCCTCTGCTTAGATAAAACTATAGAAATGTTAAAACTACCTTTTACATAATTTAGACCCCAAACCGCCCCAAACCAACATAAACCAGATAGCCCTTCACATGAATATAAAAAGGCATCTTTCTTTTCATTTGAGAAATTTTGAGCATGTTTGTCACTGCTTTTAAAACAGAGGAAAGACCAGATAAAATAATTCTGATTGAATTCAGAATTAAAAATTAAAAGCAATGTACAATAATTGTCTTATTAATTTGCTACTCATAATTTTAACTTTCTAAACATGTATCATTATCTCTTCTCATTTATTACACTTCAAGCAGACTGGAGAAAATGGAAAAATTAAGACAAAAGTTTTCTGAATGGTATTGCATATTTTAAAGACTGGTCTCAGTCCTAGTGAAATCATACATTGCAGCTGCTATAACAACATATTTGAAAACAACCAAACTGATCACTGTTTCTTTGGGTCCTCAGTTAGAAATATTACACTAGTTAAATGTGACATACAGCATCATGGAGAAATAAGGGAGTTTTCTATTCAAAATCAGTTTATTTCCAATTTTGCCATGCCTTCTAGTTTGATTCTGTGTCTACTAACACCAGCACTTCTGATATTTGACTTTAAAGGGAAAATAATAGATCTTTTTTGCAAGGTAATTGTGTTATGCTCTTGTCTGTCAAAGTGGCAATTTATTTTGTACTTTCTTATCATACCTTGAGAATTTTGCACATTATCTCATAAACTGAAAATGTTTTCTCAGCTCGTGTCCAATCCCAGGTTGTGACCTTTAAAAAACAAACAAAACACAAAAAAAACAGAAAAAGAGATGAAGTTATTGTTGTTGGTTTCAAAAATTATTTTTATTAACAAAAAAAAAATCTCTAAACTGTTTGCATTGATTAAAATACATTCAGAAATACCAAGCACTGCCTCAAAGCAACAACTAGCAGAGACCAGACTGTTCCATCCAGGCAATGCTTCGGAGATGTCCTCCCCATCCTTACAATGCAGCTCCTTGGCATGCAGCCTGCTCTATGCAAAATGATGATACTTCCCCTGGGAACTTGCAGTGGCTGCAGTGAGATCCTGAGAGGATCCAGCCCTTGAATTCATCTCACAGAGCCAGGGCCCTGTCTATAGAAAACATGTTTCTCACCACTTTCCTCCTTGTAACTGCATGCCACTATTTGCTCCCAATCACCTAGAGTGTTTGCAAATCCATAAAACCAGTCTCCAACCTTGCAATGTCACAGACACTTACCCCACATGCCTTGAAATCCAGGGGGAAACAAGCATGAAATAACACAGGCAGACATTCACTTTCCTTCTGTCTTACCAAGATTTATCTACTCCAAAATTCTAACAAACTAAGATTTGAAGAAGAGTCTTTTCTTTTCCTCTTTGTTTTGGGATTTCACAACTGCTTTTAACTGTATTCATTTTAGGCAACTGTTTCACTCAGAAAAATGCATATATAAAAGAATTAAATTAGATCATGGAAGGGTGGGTGTTAAGACTTAAATGAGACAGAAAGGGGTAGTTGAATGTATTCAGTAAGGGAAGTGTTAAGGCAACATCAGAAGAATGTATAAAATCTCCTAGGAAAATGCAAGCAGAAAACAGGAAAATATTAAAAGTTTCAAAATACAGAAGAAGACACAAAATAAAATGAAATTGAGGTTATAAATGAAAGAATAATCATCTTAATGGTAAGAAACTTTGGACAGCGGCCCATATCCAAAGGAAGACAGCTGTGTCATTAAATTTGTTAGGCACAATGAAAAGGTTAATGAAAACATACGTTACTGCTTCTACAAGATTCAAGATAAACTTTTTAAAAAGTATTTAATAGTTTCCAGAGCCCAACGAATAAAATATTATATGAATCAATTTATCTCTTATATAAAGCAAAAATAATCATTAATAGATCAAAATTATTTTGATGTTTTATGAGAAAATTCTATCTAATTTTTTGTTATAAACATTACAGTAATGGAAAGTCCTTTAAGGAAATAACAGGCAGGAATGAAAAGTTCAAAAGCACAGTGTTATAGTTCCTCTTCTATTAGAATTTTTTTTTATTTGCAGTCGTTGTCAAATGCAATCTTCACTATCTTATTGAACTGTGGGTATTAAACCACAAAACTACTCTTTCTGCTATGGACAAAAAGATCAATTTCTCACCATGAACAGAAAAATGGGGAGAGGAGTCTTGCTACAGCCCCACTGAGCCTACAACACCCAGTCACACCTGATGAAGTCATATTGTGCCATGAGGAAAAGTCGTTATTATTGCACCTGAAGCACAAAGTCATTTGGAGCTATGTTTAAAAATTTACAATAGGCTCCATTCCATGGGAGAAAATATAAGAGCTCCCTCTTCTCCCCTGGTTTCCTGCTTTTGTTTGTACCTGTAAAAAGGGACTTCTTTTCAGGTCAAACCAAAACTCTTTCTGTATAAAGATATGTGCAAAGCAAAAGCAATTGTAGAATTAAGAAACCCATAGAAATTGTTGCACCATTCACTTTTAATGTGTGAATTTAAAATATTGAGTAGCAAAAGAAAGAGTATTAGTGGATCTTTCTCAAGTAAATTTCCAATTATAAATTGGAAGAAATTGACACTCACCAGACTGGACATAATTTATAATTCTAAAGAAGGAAATCTACCAGGAAATAATAGAAAAAACAATACTGACAAAAAAAATTCTTTAAAAATTTTATAATGCAAGTAAGAAACACCAGGATTTCTCCTTTATCTGAGCATGGGAAGTAGAAATTCTATTGATCAAAGAGATTAAAAGAGGCAGGGGCAGGCCGTTGATAGACACTGTTTAAACACATGCTTCTATTGTGTTAGACTTTGGTAGAGGCTGGGGAAATATTTTTGTTTGATTTTCTGGTTAAGAAAGTTTGAAGGACATCCCTTCTCAGAAAACAACTTTGTCCAAGTAGTTTATACAGCACATATTATTAAAACTGTTTTTATTCTAACTTCAGTTTATACATCATCTAAAAAGAAGCTCTGAAACCTCCACTGAAACTTTGTTCATATTTTCTAAGCCCTGGAAGAGACAAACCTGCAGAATAGCAAACATCACTGTATCTGTAAAAGTTTGCATATAGAAAATAGGATTTTAGAAGTTTATTATTTTACACATTATTATTATACGCATTAAATGTTGGAACTGGACGATCTTTAATGTCCCTTCTAACCCAAACATTCTATGATTCTATGTCTTTAAGGCAGCTCTGTAGGAACTCTTTCTCTATCCTAAAAAAAACATGCTTATCATGCTTCCCTCCTACTCCATGAAGAGAAAATATTTTTCTCTGCATTTGAACAGTTTTTGTACTTTAGACTAGGAACCAGAATCTGGCAATACAAATTCATTTTCTGCTTGCAGCTGAGCTGAAACAAAAGCTATAAAAACTTGAGGATGGATTTCTTGTCTTACACAATAGCAGCTTGCCAAAATTTTCTTTACTCACATCACCATGGTTCAGATCCTTCATATAAATATGTTCCTTTCACACCCATTAATCACTGTTCATCAGACCCCTAAAAGTATATCATTCCTATAAATTTATTATTCTTTAGTCAAAAGGCTTGTAGTCTCTTCCATAGTTCTTAAAAAAAATAATCTTCTTCTTTTGTATTGAAAAGGATTTCTCATCATTGATTCTAGTACCTAGAATGGACTTGGTTTTACTTGACAGACAGCAAATTCTCAAGTAGGTCTGGCAAAGACTGGAGAGCTGGTTTTGAATTAAGGTGCTTGTTGGCATAATCTGACATTTTAATCTGATTTTGAAAAATATCCACCAAAAAAGTCAAGCACCCATTAATAGACTTGAGAGAGCCAAAACCCCACACCCGTGAACTAATCTACAAACACTGAACACATGAAGTTCATACTTACTTCCATTCCCCATTCCCATTCAAAAACATTCGTATGTTTTTAAACCTTTTGCTCAAAGAACACCAAGAGTTACTGATGATCAATCTAAAGATTTTTTAAGATGGCTTTGAACTACCTCAGAAAGAGGTTGCCTCAAGAGGTGGTAGATGCCCCATCTCTGAAAACATTCAAGACCAGCTTGGAAAGACTGAGGAACCTGCTCCAGACGAAGGTGTCCCTGCTTGTTGTAGGGAGATTGGACTAGATGACCTTTAAAGTTCCCTTTCAACCCAAACTATTCTATGATTCTGTTTCAGGCAGGAAGGAGCTACAGCCTGGATCTGACAAACACAAGGTTTAGCAGCAGTCAAAAAGGTCACCCAATAAACAGGAAAAATTAATCCACATGACTGTTCCTGCTGCAGGCATGGGACTGCTACTGTCTCCTTAGCAACTGGCTTAAAAGTTAGCTAGAGGATCTTTACTGCAGCTTTGATGTACCATAAGGCCATGAAAGTAAATTGTTGAGTATAAGACGAGAGCTAAAATTTTGCCCAGTGTTCCCAGTTGCACCCAGTGAGATTCTAATTAAGATATTTAACGTAAATAATTTCATTTGATTATCTACCTTCCTTTTGGGTGCTCTCAAGCAGCAAAAACTTACATTCAGGATGGAATCTAAACAAAGACATATTGCCATCTCCACAGCATGTAAAAAGCTTGGATATTTCCACAGATCTCGGCACTTTCACTAGAAGGATTGTTCAGTTTAAATCTAAGCATCTTGCTTCAGGCCTGTTCTGTCTGCCAAAGGAAAATTAAAAGCTCCCTTTTAACATGACCAGATTTCTCTTTTATTTTTCTAAAATTAATTTTCCCCCACTTAAATTGTTCATTTAAGTAAGGGAAAATAAATTCTTGCTAGATACCCAGTCATCTGATGAAGAGCTGTTTTCTATCACTTCTATACCACACACCCTGGAACTTTTCAATACTGTTAGTTGCAGTCCTGCTAGCCCAATGAGTGATACCTCATTGTGAAAGACTTGTACACATTACATGACATTATTTAACGACATTTATTCCTACTAAGCATGAGAAACATACTTACCGGAGGTGCTATAAATTTATACAGGGAAGATCCCCTCAATGCTAGAAACTTTGGTGTGTACATTCGGTCCTGAAGGGAGTCTTGTTCCCGTTCTTCTGTCCAGCCCATGTAGACTATCTGACAAAAAAATCAGCAGTGTTGACAATTTCTCAGAAATTTTCTTGTGTTGCAAGTATTTCACATGCATAAACTGATGTCTGTGAAATTTAACACAGCTGTAAACCTTGAACCCCAGACACGGGGTTTTTATAAAGGATGCCTCTCAGAACAATGCAAAAAACAAGAGAAGAAATACTTATTGTACTAGCAAAACCAAAAAACCTAAACCACATACTCCAGGGATGTTAAAGCTGTATTCTACATATCTCCTGACTGATCATGTCAGTGAAATTTAATGCAAGCGAAATGTAAGGAACCACAAGTCAGGAATCATAAGTCAAGCAGCTGGTATTACACAGCAACATGGATACAGCCTCCACATGCAAGTTCACAGTTACGCATTAAACAACATAATCTTACACATTTCATTTCCAATTAATGTAAATTAATTTTTTTTCTCTCTGAAAATCTCTGTGTAGGAGTTTTGAACCTTTTTGCTTAGAAATAGATTAGCAGACTGTTTTCATTCACTATTTTGAACAGACTTCATTTACAGCTAAGAAGTAACCAGAATGCTGTAGACCCTTACCACTACCTGCAGATCTTCTGACACAGATGCTGAACTAGAACTTATTCCTACTCACTTTAGGATGTAGTTTCCTACCTATCCTATTAAGTTTGAGTTATTGAATATCAAATCCTTAGAGAGTAGAAGGACATAAGTCACCACTATGCCAACTTCTGAAGAACCACTGAACAGGGAGTAGACACATCATGGAATATTTGATTTATAACTGTGACATTAGTAATAAAATACAGTTTCCAGTGTGCTTGGGTACACTACTGCCATGGAAAACAGTTCAACCCATATTTCATACAGTGCTGCTAATTGGATAGATCTATTTTTAAATGCCTCTGTGAAAATGATTTCTACACTAACAATGAAGGTATGGGACATTCTCTGTCTTAAACGTCAGTAATGATCATGTAAGGAAAACAGTAAAAATTACGTAAGGAAAAGGTAAAAAAGTTACTTACAACAAGTTTGTAAATGCAGTGCACTAATGGTATGAATGTCCCTAAAATGAATGTTTTTACTGCATGCTTTATCCTCCCAGATTTTGAATGTTGTGAGCTTTTTGAAAAGAAATTTACACTAGTTTATTTCTTTACTTTTGGACAAAGAATTTTCAGCAGCTTTTCTTCATGGAATATGCATTAAAATAAATAGTGAGTCTATTGTTTTTCTTTTTCTCTCTTTTATTTTTTTCTTGGAGAGGCAGAGGAGATCGTATTTTTTTATCATAACACACATGAACTTATTAGCTTTTTCAAAATCCCCTTGTATGAAATCAACACTACTAGTCTGTCACAGTTTATTAGACATTTTATGGTCTATAAACAGAGACAGGGAGATGCTCCATTTTTCTCATACTACAGTGACAACTCAATACTTAATTATTTTGTCAATATCAAACACTAAAACTGTCATATAGTCTCAGGTTCAATGAAGAACATATGTTGAAATATCTGCTCGTTTGGTGACTAAATAAGTTTATAAAAGTCAGAAAGAAGACAGATCTGTACCACAGTATTCAACCATCAAAAAGGGTGCTAACTGTGCATTGTTATGCAATAACAATTAAAAACCCCATGTTCTCTGAAATCTCATTCATTCCTGAATGAAGAACTATTCAAAAGGAAACAAACAAAGAAACAAACAAACAACTGACTGGTAAAGAGAAGTTTTGAATTATTTCAATTCAATGTTTATTCAAATTTCTCTCATTTCTGCTGTTTCATATGCTATCCATAAATAAGATCCTCATCCCTCTGATTTGACTGCAGCCTCTAGATCTCAGTGACTGAGGTGGGTTACACAGAAGTATATAACTATAAACAAATTGTACTACTATGTGCAGCAGTTTGGCACATTTTTCCATCTATAACTGAAAGAAAATGTATGATCTCTAATTTCTAGGAATTGAGACATTTATGCTTCAAAATTAATTCAATTGAATTCATCTGGTATAATCTTGATTTGTTTCATTAAAATTGGACACACAGTAAGATATCATCTTCCCTGATGATATTTAATATCACTGTAACAGAGTATGTAATCCCTTCTTAGTGTTTTTCTTTCATATTTCTGTATCTACTATTCATCACAATAACAGGATACAGTCACTCATGCTGTGCAGATGTACTGATACTCCATATTTGATTGACTCAATACTAAAGTAGCATGAAATTTAAGGCAATTGCTCCCTTAAATATTTCTCCTTGCCTCTGCAGATCATGAGGAAAAATTAGGCTGATTTTCCAGACAACCTGCTGCACCAAAAGTTTTATTAACAGAAAAGTAGTTCTCCTTCAGACTCAATACCTACTATTCAACATAGAGAGGGCTGTCAAGCAAAGATTGTATGATTATAATTAGGAACATTTACAAATTTGTTTGAGTGCATGTGTACATCCACATACGTGGATTAAAATAGCACAGGCTGTATTCTGGAAAAAAAGGCAAAACAAATACTTGTTACCTATTTTATCAGATAATTCTGAGAACTATGATAACTTTCAAGTTCCTAAAGTGATCTCAGTTTATCTAAACATACAGAATGTGTGCAATTAAATAAAATATTGCATTTTTTTATACAGTGAAGGTAAGAAACTGTTGAAAATTTTCACTTCTGAGGTAAAACAGATGACATTTTTGAAACATTTCTGTTACTGGAAAACGTTCCGACTTCTAAAAGAGCTTTGACCTATAAAAACTTAGAGAAACTTATTTATTGGAAAGGGACTGTAACTTAACAAATTAATAGTTCACGCATATGTATGAGCTGAAATATTGGATGAATATGATATATGACTGAGAGTTTTTGGACCATATCTCAGTGCAGCTGCACATGTGGACTTGGCAAATATGGCATTTCATGAGATTATGAAATTTAATTTCTGAAAATAAATGCTTAGCACAGACACACCATGAATGGATAGAAATGTTAATCACAAATAGTACATAGTGTGCTCCTTCATAAATTCAAAAATCTAGTTACTTTTTAATCTTATCAAGATCATTTGAGTCCCTATAAAACTGTTGATTGTTATCAATGAACATGGCAAGGGTGGTGAAAACAGATTTTATTTATGATTCATATTCCATTTGAAAGATAATTTTTGCAGTCTTGGTTTCTAACTTACCTCAAGCAACTCATTCTTCAAAATCAAATGGTTACACAAATCAGTTAACTTAGTGGCTACTGGTTCAGTAACAAAGATTCAATAAGTCATTATGGTTTATGAGTTGAATCATGGACAGTTAAAAAAATCTATATTGAAATGATAAATTAAACAGGACAATTTCTTCAGTCAAAAATCCATAATCTTGTAATTTAATATATTCTTAAATCACACAGACATCCTAATCAAGCAAGATAAATTGCCATTTTTTATATCAGTCCAATATATTGCAAAAAATGGCTTAAATAGACTTGATTATCAGAGAGACTTTTTCAGACTTTTTACACAGATTTCATTATGTTTTATGAAGAATAGTAAGACAAAAATACGAGAAAATTTCCCCAAAATGAAATGTAATATGTATGTGACATCATAAAAATGAAGCAATTCAAAGATAAGAACAGATACACTGACAGTTTTTTATCTTGCAAGTCTGATACTCATACTTACATTATGTGGAACTGTGCTGTAGGGCAACAGGATGAACATGGAATCAGAAGACAAACAAAAATGTCAGACAGCACAGAGGGAAAGTAATGAGGGATGAGAAACTCAGATAATGCCCTCTACCCTGGTTTTAATATAATTTTCTCTATGTTTTTAAAAATCATATTCTGTATAGTCTAAAAATTCATTATAGTCAACTGTCAGCAGAGAACCAATAAAAGCCACACTTGAAATGTGGGGGAAAATGGAAGAAAAAGGGTGGTCATAAAGCAATCATTGGCAAAACCAATTCTGCTTAGGATTTGGTTTAGGAAAAGGCTTAGGATTTTTATGCTGAGTAAAAAAAATTTTTCAAAGTCAACAGAAGAATTAATCACATAAAAATTTGAATGGGTACTAGAAGAATTTTGCCCTATTGCAAATGTAGTCAAAATGTCTCAGGTTTTCAGGTTTGTGAAAAATCTGCTAATCTTTCCATAGTTTATTTTTAATTTCCTGTGAATTATTTTTTATCTTCCTCATTTAAAAACATCCACTAAAACTTTAGAGCTATCACTGACAAAGATCATCTTCATATTTTTGAACCATTCAACTACAAATAGTTTATTCCTTCTAAGATTGCACATGTATTGTATCTCACAGCTTAATTTTCTTCTGTGTAAGAAGTGATCTTGCTACCAGACCAAGGCTGAGTATAGGTTTTCCATTTGACTTTGTCTTGTTCTATTTTTGAAATGACCACACAAAAATTGAGGAAATATCATCAGGTCTTAAATTAAAGTGTCAAAGAAAGCAGAAAATACTTCTTAAACTATGGAAGATGATTTTTCGCTTACAATCCAGATAAATGAAAACTGGTATCAAAGACTGAAAGCAAAGTACATTTGCTTTCTTAGCAAACATCTTAGCAACAACAGAGCAAAGACAGATGTTTACAATAACAAAACTTGCCTGGACCTCCATAGAGTTCTATCCAAAATTAACAGTGCTGTTTGAAAAACGTGCATGGCAATTTATGCTACATCCAACAGCATCCCATGAGAAAATTTAGCACATTCCCAATAAGATGTACTGGATCTTGCTAGAAATCAGGACTACATTGACTGCTGCATGCCATCACTCCCTCCACAGGATTGAAAAACGATGGCTACATGTGGATACAGCATAGTTTTCCAACCAGGTAAAGAGCTACGTGTTGCTTTTCCAGGTTTCTTCTTCTTGCTACAATCTACTAATCCAGAGAAATATTTTTTCTCACCCATTCGGTTTTTCATCCAGTTTTACATGTTAATAGCCACAGCTCATTTCAAAGAACTCATTTTACT